TGTGTGAACATCGAACTTATTTGCTAGAAGAAGTATTTCTATATCGAGGAAAACTTGCGAACGGGCATTGATTTTGTATGATTGCTATTTTCCTATGCTCGAGGAACTTTGCTACGCAGTCTCACTTACAAGGAATTTTTCCTGACAAATTGGCATTTGTTTTACCATTCGAAGCAGAAATCGAAATAATAGAGAATGGAAATTCTAAATTATTATTTTATTATATTTATTAATAATTAAATAATTGATTAATAATTAATTTGTGTATCGAACAAAACGTTTGGTATTTATTTCATAGTGCATTGGGTAATAAAGAGGTAGACAATTAACGCAAACAAATTGACCGGCGGTTGTTGTTCACTTCTTGAAGCATTAATTTTCATTGACTATATCTCCTTCCCTGGATACGACCTTGAAAAGATGGGAGGGTGTAGAAACGAGAAGGCTCACGTAGCCATCGCCGTCGATTTAGTTGAGAAAACGAACCGCAGCTGGTTCGTCGCGTCGCGCATTAAATTCGGGAGTGCTATTACGTACAAAGTGACATGCAAATGTGATTACCTGCGTTTTCGTGAATGTAATTTTTTCGAGAGAATAGATGATGACAAAGCTGATATTAATCTAACGTAAGAGTAGAAATAGCTATTTTAGAGTGAGTGCAATTGATTTTTACATGCATACATTTCTTCAAAGAAATATAATACGGGAAAAAAGTTCAAAGGGAATATAATGCTAAAATTGATTTATGTCTTAATTAATCAGTAACTTGACTCCATTATTTGAGCATCGTATTGTCCAATATTAGAGTGACGTTGTCGATGCTATTTTCGAATTTTTTGAAATAATCGTTACTGTCATATTTTTAACTGTTATATTTTTGAATGGAATCTAATGGTATATTACAATGCTTTTACCAAGCAAATACAGTCCTAATTAATTTCGTAAATATTCTAATATTTCTCAATTGCAAGACACAAATTCGACATTTATACATAGATGAGTCTTTTTAAATTCTTTATCGTTAGGGATTCGTGTATTGCCAATTCGTGAAATATCACGAATGTGGAATAAATCGTGATTTATTCGCGCAATTATATCTTTTTTGTCTATTATTCTTTGTTTTAATATAGTAAAGTGCGCATGTTAATTTTTCGTCTTAACATAATAAAGTACAATTAATATCGAGATTGCCGTCGGTGTACAAAATTCTGCGCGGCCGGTGTATTTTGATGACTAGATTTGTATAAG